ACGTAAACCACGTAAACGCCGTCCTGCTAAGCTACAAGGCGCTATCCACAGTGAACCGTTGCTGAACGATAACGCCATTCCCTTAACCCCAGTGGTCACACTAATGGTAAACTATAACTGTCTATTTTGCGACTCAGTAAACCTCAAATCTTAAAAGAATAACTCACAAACAGCCGATTGTGGAACTGAAATGTAATTTTGATGGTTGGTCCGAGATGGACACGTTTCGGGCCCTTTTTAGTGGTATGGTACACCACTTTCCAGACAGTCTAGTGTATGTAGCTTACAACGGTATGCAACCTTCGGACCATTTTTGAAAGTTTAACACACCCGAATGAAACAGTTTTCTAACTGAACCAGTACGCAGAGTATATTCAAATAAATGAATAAATATTTCGTTCACAGGAAAAGGGTGTCGTGACATTCAAATTACACCACGACACAGCACGTACACATGGATATCGTAAGCGTTGGCCTACCTGTCAAGAAGTGCAGCCTTCTGCAGGCGGGCAGCTCGGGCTACAATGCCGGAATTCCTCCGCGTCGTCTCTTGCACCACGTACCAGTGTTCGGCTACCACAGTGTCTATGTGACCTTCGCAGATTAGGGTCAGTAGGGTGTGGTTTCGTTCGATGTCCTTTGAAAAGCGTCGGACAAATGCACTGGCGTTAGTGATGGGTCGGGGTTGGACATGAACCCATCTGATGCTCGTGCTCCGTCCAACGGAGTCGGCGAGTGCCTCCATTTCTTGAACGCTCATTCCGTACAAGGTGATGCTTAGGTCTCTAAGGCTGCTGTTTCGACGGAGCGCTTTGTGCAACAACGACCACCACCGTGTGTCACCATCGGTTTCCAACGGAGGGTCCAGTCCAGCAGACAAATTGAGCTTTCTCAGCGCCGTGCTCGATTTCAGAAACTCGGCGAAAGCCGAAGACACCGCCACGTTGGCCCTGTTGATGCGAATGTTAATCGAGGTGATATGACGACAGCTCGGCAGTACATGCAAAGCGGCCACTGTGTGGTCGTTTGGCCAGGAGAAGTGTACTTCCGAAAATGCTTTACACTGCAAAAATTCAATTTCGTGTTCAAATTTGTAATATCCGATGGAAACTTTTTCCCTTAAGCCACCGCTTTTGAGTTCGGCACATACAAAGGACAAGTCGGGATGCCTGTCCACCCAATTTTGGATGTGAACGTTCAGGTTTTCTTTGCTCAATAAAGCATGGAAGAGCCGAGCCCTCTGCGGTGGTTCGAAAATCTGGTATGGAATTTCCAGTTTTTCCAATGTTTCGTTTTTTATCAAAGCAGGAATCCAACAGTCGTAAGCGGAGGCTATTCCGGGCTGAATATAGTCTAGGGTCCAAATGGTTAAGCTTCGCAGGACCTTGTTGCTACTGATGACTCCAGCAAAAATGCCCGTTGCTTCTTCGTCTCCCCTGAAACCGACCAATATGAGCTTCTTGAGGCTTTTGTTGTTTGAAATGCCTTCGAGAAACGCGGCTTGAAGAATTTTGTCTGACAAAATCACGAACAGTACCTCGAGGAATGCTGTCGTGGTGAGTTATTCGATCAGGGCGTGCGGACAGTGTTCTGGTTCGAGTAGATTCATATTTATGCTAAGTTCTCTGAGCCAGCATCTGCGCGAGAGGGCCGTGAAGAACGTGTCAGCTTCTCGCGCTCGCAGCGGAAAACCAATTAAACGTAGCGTTTCCAGGCAGGAAGACTTCTGCAGAAGCTGCAACAGTGCATCCACGACGACTTGTGGAATAGGTTTCGACCTAGTGAAGTTGCATTGCAGGTCTACGATACTAGTCAAACAAGGTATTACTTCGCAAGCAGCGTCCATAGCCCATGCTTCATGCAAGATTAAACACAACAATTTTAGTCCTGAATTGTGGCGAAGGGCCTCCAGAATGGCACGGCCGGTGTAGTTGTCGAGCGATGGCTTGATGCGGGCCGACGAAATTCAGCGGTGGCTTTTCAGTAACCTTCCTAGAAGCTCGGGGTATTCCGGCAGCTGCAATGTATCAAAATTTTGAATGGTTGGCCCGGTCACAGTAGTGTCTTCCAGGTGGAGCTGGCCAGACGCTCCTGGGCGTTCTCGCAGTTCCCTCATTGAGCCACGGAGCAGCTTGTTCAAGATTGACAGGTTTTCGACGATTTGACACGTTTGGTTTTCAGCAGCTGTGCATTCCGCCCAGTGGGCCATCACGTCTTCACTGAACTTGTCCATGGCGTTCCTCGGTCACTGTGGTGGTTCTGGCGTGGTCTCACTCCTGCAAGAAAACGGTAGGTGCAACGCTACACTAATCTACAATTTTAGAAAACTCGAAGTTTGTTTTATATGCATGAGTGATAAGACACACTGATATTTCTCACGTAGAATATTTTGCGTCAAGTTACATTAAAAGCCATATAAAATGCACTCTGGAAAATCGCGTTTTAGCATGACACATGTTTTACTTTACATGGTGTTTCAGCATTGTGTGGGGAGATCACCGAAAATAAGGGAAATGCAACATTTTTAACTGTCTTTATGATACAATTTTCTATGAAGGAAGACTTTTTAACATGACTGGACACAGCAACGAGGGTAGTAAATGACTAATATGAGCTAAATAGCATTTTAGTTTAGCGGGAACAGCTGGTTGGGTGAAATGGGAGAATATCTGTTCTTCCCAGCTGCAAAGAAGTCATTGATGGTAGAGAAGGGAAAAAATCGTGCTCTAGTAGTTGCTGCACAGCAATGCAACTCAAGTTCTGCCATCGAAACTAAAACGAAGCTTCCGACGAGCGCAGCTGGCAGACGGTTAAAAGAATGTTCACGACGGTGATTGCAGTCGTGTTAGTTCTACGTTTGTTTCACCCATGACAGTGCCCAGATTTTATCATTCGTTAAGAATTGCCAACGACTGCTTTTGCTACATCTGAAAGGGGAAACTGGCTCGTCACAGGATAAGCCGCAATTTTCGATTTGACCGTACCTCCCGTATCAATAAAACAAAAGTAAAACAAAAGTGAATTAGCTTATCTCCTCTACATGATATTATAATTTATGACTGCATGCCTCTCCGTATGCCTGCCGTCCCACAGAAAAGTAATTATTAAAGCAGAGTGATGAAATCTTTCCATATAGGTTCGAGAATTTTCGGAAAGCTTTTGTTGTAACCTTCAGTAATAGGTGTCCCCAAAAAATGAAGCCCAGACTCACTAAAGTTTCTATTTTCTTCCGCTGTATTAAGTCGTTTTCTTCACAAATACTACAGTGAACTTCCTTACGAACCACATTTAGTGGTTGCCATCACTTGTAGATTAATAACTGAGCGTAGATGTACGACCAATTTAGTTTTAGCAAACTGGTGGTGGATGCGTCATTACAGCAAGACAGATTTGCTTCGCGATTTTCTTCAATTTCCTCGCCTGGCAACCTTGAAGACAGACAAGACAAATGTTGACAGAAGACGTGCAAATAATCGGTGTTCATATTTTGAGAAACAATGAGATACGTGACATTCCCGCTACAGAACGCCAGAGATGCTTCTAAAACATAACGACATTATTTGGGGTAATGACACCTGTGCTGCATTACGTGATAAGTTTTAGCTTCAAAGTAGGTTATACAAAGTGTATTCTACAATTGACTGGTGGTAACGCATTCCAGTTTCGTACGACAAGTTTAAATTCACCCGTCTGGGCAACTTTATGCCAAATACGACCCCGCAGAATATGGCATAATGTATTACTGTTGCACTACACCATAATCACTGTTTCATTATGGTTGCTCTCTCGAGATGCACGGAGTCGAGTGAGCACAGATTCAGCTATAATATCAACCGGCATTGTTCTAGAGTTAGGAGATACAGAGTCTGAAAAGCTACTTGGGTGCTACTACCGGAAAATGTCGCAAGGGCCTAAGCGACATTCAAAGGACGTAAAGCTTAAATGACGTTGCATCATGTAGGCTGCCGGTATGGGCAACGCGAAAGCCATACGCCACTTCCAGTTGTGCGTCAGTTCTACGCAGTGTAGAGCTCTCACTCACCGATGCGTTGACTACGGCGGGGATAACGCGCATTCGTATACGCTCGTGTGGTGGATTGTTCCTCAGTGAGAAGGAGCAAAAATGTCTGCGCGTTTGCGACCTGTTTGTGCATGGCAGTTCCCCACTACGGGAGACTGGTGAAGCTGGCAGCTAAAATGATTGATAGATCGTTCAGACAAGTACTTGAGGTATGAATGATGGTATTTCGTCGCACTATTGGGAAATAATCACACTTTCTAATTTCAGATTGCGTAAAGAATTCTATAAGAATTTACTACACATAATGCACTGTGTGTACCAAAATGATTTCAAGTACATAATGGCCATTGAATATTCTCGCCTATTACTAAATTCTTTGTTCTTGTTCACCCTTTAACGGTGCTACACTTAACGACATGGGATTGGTTAATAACTGAGTGCCTTTTTCTATTGAAATGATGGGTAGGAGAGGTTGGTGTCATTATCGTGGTACCGGCTACTCCTTTTCGCTTAGCAAAGAAAATATGTCGAAAAGTATACCAATAAGGGCACAAAATGCTAGACATTGTAGCATAACATATGGAGTTAGAAGTTTGCGAATAATGAAGGCTATATGATAGAAAGAACGCAGATTACATAGGAAGCTATATATGGTCACGCATAATTCGTCATCCTCTTTTTCCTCAGCATCAGAAAAGTGCCCGTGATTCCTTACTATAGTGACGTGCCCGGGTAGCGCGGACACCGCTAGCCGAGCCAAATGTGGGCGTGAAGCCCGCGAAGAATGGCCGACGACGCGTAGTTCACAAAAAGCAAAAAAGCCTCGTTTAATGCCCACCGATGCCTTTTATACAGAGTGGGGGCGCCACCTCCCAGTTACTAGAAGCAACAGGTGGCGTCCTCTACATCCCTCCTTCCGGAGCTCTCAAACACAAGTGTTCCAAAAGAGCACCACCAAGAAACAGTCCTTGCAGTAGTCTCACAAATTCAGTCTCCGAGGTGGCACCACGCGCTGGCCGTATCGTGTGTAATGGTGACCAGGCGATCCTGCAGCAGGTGCAGGAGCTGGAGTGTCTGATGCGTTACCGGTTGCTGCCCGCTGTGGTCCGGGAGATGGCGCCGATGTCGGGGCCGCAGGGTTGGGGATTCCCGTCTCATCTGAGGGGGCCGACTGAGGATTGCTGCAGGGGACAAGGTGTCTGTGGTTTCTCACTAGTATGCCACTGGGCGTCTGGACGATGTACGAGCGGGGTCTCTGAGCCGGGCTTAGGACCATCGCCCTTGCCCGCGTGTCACGCACCCAGACTTCCTCCCCATCGTCGAGAGCATGAAGGTCATGCGCTGCGTGTCGGTTATTGTTGTCTCTCTGTTGTCTTCGTCTCTGGGCGGCATCTCTCTCATTGAATTCTTTCACCTGGGGCCAATCTGGAACAAGGCTTTGAGCCGTGGCTGGCACACGAGTTCGCAGAGAGCGTCCCATGAGCAGTTGGGCCGGGCTGTAGCCAGACACACCGGGAGTGTTACGGTATGCTAGCAGAGCCAGAAACGGGTCTGTGGCCTTCAGAAACAACTCCTTGATCGTGCGAACCATGCGCTTTGCTTCGCCGTTCGACTGCGGGTAGCGTGGACTGCTAGTGACATGCGTGAAACCGTATGTCTTCCCAAAGTCCTCAAAAGCTTTGCAGGAAAACTGTGGCCCATTGTCGCTGACAACAGTCACCGGGATGCCGTGTCGGGCAAATGTGCTCTTGATCGCAAAAATAACGGCTCCCGCAGAAGTGGGCCGGAGTGTGAGGACCTCAGGGTACCAAGAACGGTAGTCGACGACCACCAGGAACTCTTGATTAGCAAAATGAAACAAGTCAATGGCAACCCTTTCCCACGGAGCTGATGGTGTCTCGGTCGCAATCATGGGCTCACAGCGTTGAACGCGTATAGAAGCACATGCTGGGCAGTTCTCTACGGCTGCTTTAACCTGGCTGCTGAGACCGGGCCACCACACAGAGCCTCGGGCCACCGCCAAGCACCGATTGACGCCTTGGTGACCATCGTGCAGCAGGTTCACGATGTCTCTGCGTAGTGCTGCGGGCACAACTAGGCGTCTTCCCATGAACAGCATGTTCTCGCATACCGTGAAGTCTCCCCGGTGGTCCCAGTAACGCGTCATGTTGAGCGGCAGACGGTCTCATCGAGGCCACCCTTTCATGCAGTATGCTTTCAGCATTGAGCACTCGCCGTCTGAGGTTTTGTGAGACCTGAAGTCTTCAAAACGTACGGACAGGGTTGAAGGAAGGGCTGCCACGACCAGAGACACAAAAATTTCTGTGCTGTCTTCTTCAGACGTGGAAGAGCCTTCGGGATCCCTAGAGAGGGTGTCTGCCGTGGCCAGGTACTTTCCTAGAACATACTTGACTGTGAACTGATATCGCATGAGCCTTATGCGAAATCTTTGGATGCGAGGGGGCATGAGGTCCAGATCGGCGGAACCAAGCAACCTGACGAGCGGCTGATGGTCGGTTTCTACGACAAAGCTGAGTCCACGCAGGAATTCCTCAAACCTCTCGATAGCCCAAGAGACACCAAGCGCTTTTTTCTCAATCTGACTGTACCGCTGCTCAGCGGTAGTCAGTGCTCTTGACGCGAACGCGACAGCTCGTCGCTCTCCCGTCTGTTGCTCCTGCAAAATAACCGCGCCTAGCCCGAACGAACGGGCATCTGCCAACACAAGGGTGGGTAGCTCTGGATTGTAGCTGGCCACACAAGCATTAGATGCCACCATTCCCTTCAATGTCTCGAAAGAGGTTGCTTGCGCATGGTCCCAGGTCCAGACTGCGTTCCTGTTCAACAGGAGCCGTATCGGTGTAGTGACGGCAGACAGGTTCGGTAAAAATCTTCCAATGTGGTTCAGCATGCCCAAGAAACGACGGACGCCATGCGTATCTGTCGGCGGCTTCATGTTCACAATAGCAGATACCTCTTCAGGGTCAGTCGAGATGCCACTGGCGCTCGCTACTACACCAAGGAACTTGACGGAAGATACCCCGAAGGAGCATTTCGAGGCATTCAACGTAATGCCCGCTTGTTCTAACTTGCGAAGGACTGCTTGGAGTCTGCTGTCGTGCTCGGAACGGCTCCTGCCGACTACTAGAATGTCATCTACCATCTTCACACACCCTTCCAGGCCCTCTAGAATCAGAGACATTTGGCGCTGAAATACTTCGGGAGCGGACCTGATGCCGAAGGGCAGGCGGCGGTAGCAGTAGCGTCCAAAAGGTGTTATGAAGGTAGTCAGCTCTTGACAGCTTTCCGATAGCCTTACTTGATGAAACCCCGATTTTGCATCAAGTTTTGAGAAAACCGCGGCATTGCCAAGACGGCCAAGTACCTGGTCCACTGTGGGCATAAGGTGTCTCTCCCGAAGAACTACTTGGTTCAACTTCGTGAGGTCAACACAAATTGACCATTTGCGGGAAAACCACTGCGCATGAGCAGTAACCGCACAGGTAGCGTTCCTGTACAGGCGTTTTGGTTTTGGTTGGAAAACATCAGCCTGGCGTTCCATCAATATGACCCGTAGTAACGGCGAACACTGCCGTTTTCACGCAAACACCGTACCTCACAGACGGAGCACAAGCCGTCCTCACTGAACCTATAGTTAATCGACAGACATTTCAAGGTTCAACTTCAAGTGTATAACATAATGTTGTTCTTAAAAGAGCAGGCGTAAAGAGCCTGGCGAACCGTCGAGGTTACGTGTTAGTTGACGAAGATGTTTTCCAACCAAAAGCGAAGCTTTCCTGTTTACACGACAGGGGGCGCTCACTTTTCCGCAAATGGTCAATTCTGTATTCGCCATCGGCTTTGGGTACCAGCACAATACCAGCACACCACGGGGTTGGCACTGTGACTCGCCGGATGACCCCGTCCCTTTCCATGGCATCTAAGTGCTTCTTGACTACGCCTTCGAGGGGAATAAGGATGCGCCTAGGAACGCTCAGAGAAAATGGAATCGCTCCCGGCTTGATACGAATGTGGTATTCTTCAGGCATCTCGCCAAGGCCTGAGAACAGCGAAGCTGCGGCCTTGTCTGACGTTGGGGGCCTATTCGGAGTTTCCGCATCTTCCACGGTGTCAACAAACTGGACGACTCTCAGGTCCACTACCGCCGAGTACCCCAGCAGAGGAGAGTCAATGTCTGCTACAACGTACAACGTTTTGCATACTGATGTGCCCGGGGAGAGGTTGAGGCTGCCCCCCAGGATCTGGCGAAGGACGACTCTTGCGCGCGTCTCACGAACAAGTAGAAGATGCATTTAATTTACATATTTGCAAGAGAAGTACATTGCAACGAGAGCGTACAGACGCACCTTTCCATCACAAGGGCCCAGAGCGCACTCGAGACGAGCGGGCCAGCGAAGTCCAGAGAGAGAGCCCTGAGAGCACACGCGACGCGCTTTTTATACCCCTCGTCCGTGCACGAGCATCTTCTCAGACGCAGGCTGTGTGTCCCAGCGACGCTGATGTGCGTTCCCTGCGGCGCACAGAGACGCCTCCCGCGTTCCTGCAGGACGCGAACAGCGTTTGACCGTTACGCCGATGAGCGTCCCTTGCAAGCCACCTCCTTGCTGTGCCGGCCATAACAGCCCGTCCGCCGCCCGAAGAGGTCATGAAAGGGCTGCAGTGGCGCTGCTCCCTGAAGTGGCCGTTGTGCTTCTTCTCGGGTGTTTTCATTGATTGTCAACCACTACCCATACACGCACACCACACAGCACAGCACACCTTTGCAAAGCACAGACCAAAGCAGATCGCCCAACAAGCGCATTTCGGCGTCGCCACGATCCACCGCACACCCACACACCTTGGAATGGCAACCACACTCGGCGCGCAACGCCCACTTGGTCACAGCATGGGACCGTCAACATCCGCAGAGTCCCAGTCACCGTTGCCTGGTTTTACCATAGTCGGTCGTGTCACACGGCACTAAATGAAGGTCGCCGTCCTCAGAGGCTGTTTTAGATGCGGAGCATCTTATAATCGCGCCTTGTAGTGCGCCGTCCGCGCCGTCCGCGCCGTCCGCACCGCTTCTCGAACATTCGACAGCTGACGCGCGCGCATGCGCCGTCGCGCCGTCGCCCACTCTTCCACCATCTGTGCATCCCTTCCTCCTCTACACACCGCGCGCGCTTCACTCCTCCACCATCTGTGCACCCTTCCTCCTCTACACACCGCGTTCGACATCTACAATTCTCCTGATTCTCCAGTGGACGCGCATGTGGCATCGCGCTTCGAGAACATTCAACAGCTGACAGTGCATGCGCCGTCGTGCTGTATATATACTCAAGGTCGGCGCTCGCTCGCTCAGTTGCCGCTCGTCGGTTGGTTTGTACGGCGCGTCGACGTCCAAGGTCGCGGTGAAATGAATTCCAACGAATCCACAAACACAATGATCGACGTCCCTTCGACCAGCGCCGCCCTTTCGCATATGTGTGTACGTGTTCACTCATTTAACACCCCCTCCTACAACCACGTTAACCAATTTAGCCATCGACCCAAGTAAGTCGCAATTTAACACCCCATTTCACAACCACGTTAACCAATTTAGCCATCGACCCAAGTAAGTCGCACTTTAACACCCCGTTAACCAATTATATGGTCCGCATCCTCCTCAGTGTTCACCCGAGGGAAGCTGCGGGCAATTTTTTTTTCTGGGCCAGTAGCTGCCCGACTATAGTGGAGGAGGGTGCACACAAACAGAACACTGACACTGCGAGCACTCAGCTCTCCTATGATTCGCCAGGTTCAAGTTAGGGCGAAGCTCCTTTCATTGTTTATTGCCGAACAGAAGACTACACTGAGGTGGCGACCAAGTGAACTCGAAGAAAAACTAATTTCAGGGAGTCGGCAGACTGATGCGGGCCACTGCTTCCGCATATCAACTTAACTGAAAACACTTACAATGCTTGCTAATACGAGAAGTGAAATCTGTAGCGAAACAAACTAACCGTTAATATGACAGAGGCATACTACTGTAAAATCAAAATTAAACAAACATGCATGCTTCTAATAAAACCCCTGTGTCCGACTCTCCAGCTTACAGCTGTCCCTCACTTCAATCGTACACGTGGCGGTCGAGGTCTTGGTGGATTTCGAGAACGCCCGAGGCAACGACGCGCACGTGCTTCCAGCTGAACGGCACAGTCACGCCTCATTCGCGATTTCGGCGGGCTTCGGTCAGCCCGGCGGAGGGGATTCAAGCAACGCGCGGGAAAGAGTGGCGATGTCCTCTTTGGGCTAACTCCCGTGCGGTGTTTAGCTATTGTGGCCTTTTTCTCAGCACCCCTTCGACACTCTTGTCCGCGGAAAGCTCTAAACCTCTGCCGCGAATTCGGTCACAAGGATGCGCGCTGTGGCCTGCCCTTTTTCCGCTGGCGCCTTCCACTTGATTGCATTTGCGAAGAACCCGCTGTTCTTTTACTTGTTGTCCGGTGGCTCGGACTCATGCAGGACAACTTTGACGCCGATGCGAAACGCCTAATTTTGCCTGCTGCGCTCAAATTTTGCGAGCTTTCTTCAACACGCGTAGTGCCTTTTGTCTCGATCGCGGCTCTTCGACGTTTCTTGCGTCTGCGCCGCTTCTTGCGTCTCGTTTCCGAGCCTCCCGATTGCATCTCCAGCTCGTCAACCCTCGCACACCTTGCGTCAGCTGTCTCAGTCGCGCGGTCTAAATTATTTTGGACCAAATCATCTTTATTCTCACCCTTTAGACCAGCGGACTGGTTAACACACTGAGGAACAATGCAGTTGCTTTCCTTCGAAAAATCTTGCTCGCATTCTTGAGAGCTGTTTGCAACTACACTTACGGATGGCTGAATTTTCCGTCTCATTGCCTCTGCAATCGTAAGCTGAAGCCGCAAGCGCTCAAGCTCCCTTTCTTGGCTTTCCGCTTCTTCTTTGCGCCTGACGGTTTCTCTTTCAAACATAAGGCGATCTCGCTCTTCGACTTCTTGTGCCCTTTTCATCCTCTCCTGAATTAGCTCCCGGCACTCGGCGAGCTCCTCCGCATCCGCGCCAGAATCATCAACCGCCTGTATTAAAAGTGGCTTTCTATGTATAGTCGCCACCTTAATCTCCAGCTCCTGGCACAACAGCACTAAATCCGGTTTCCTC